AGGCGGGCCCCTATGGGAGAGCCTTTGCCAGTATGTATGATAAAAATTAGCTTAGCTACTAGATAGGCGAGTCCGCTTCGCCCGTCGTATATTCCGCTCCGGGATCTTTGTGGGCACGTGACCAGCGCACGTGCCACTTTTCCGACGTAAAATAGCAACTACTACTACTACTACTACTACTGTAACCTGTATGTATAGTTATGTATCGGCCATGACACATAAATCAGGTATCAATAATCAGCTGGTGTGATGGCGGACCCACCTGAATGTGAGCTGGTACCTGTAATAATGAACAATAGTACTCCGTATTCAGCTCGCCCTGGTTCACAACTGACAACCCCGCTACCTGACTCCCATCAAGATAGATATTAGTCTGTTTAACATCTCCCTTTCCTGATATCTAAAACTCTGTGGCCGTTACCATGAATGTACCCAACACAGAGAAACAGACCAAAATCCTTGTCACCGGAGGCACTGGGCTTGTGGGTAGTGCTATTCAATGGGCTATACACAATGTTCCAGGTACTTTTGGGAAGGAACAAAATGAGGAGTGGGTGTTTCTCAGTAGCGCAGATGCTGATATAAGGTCAGGAAGACACCAAGTCACCAACTTCAGTGAACCTCCAATCTGACCAGTTTAGGAACTATGACGAGACAAAATCGATTTTTGGCAAATATAAGCCAGACAAGGTCATTCATCTTGCTGCCCGCGTGGGTGGTGTTTTTGAGAATACATTGCGAATGGCCGATTTTGTGCGCGATAACCTGTGTATTGACCAGAATGTGTTGCATGTTTGCCAAGAGTTGGGTGTAAGCTTTGACTTGGCTATGTATTAATGATAACCTACTAAACTAATACATTGCAGGTCGAAAAGGTGGTTTCTTGTCTCTCAACCTGCATCTTTCCGGACCGAACAACTTATCCAATCAGTGAAAAAATGTTGCATGATGGACCTCCACATCCATCAAACTATGGATATGCCTACGCAAAACGCATGCTGGACATCTCCAGTCAAGCATATCGGCAACAGTATGGCTGCAATTTCACATGTGTCATTCCTACGAACCTCTATGGACCCAATGACAACTTCAGTGAAGGCTGTCACTTCATTCCCGGGATCATTAAACGAGTGGCTCAGGCCAAGCAGAGCAAGGCCTCAGTGATGGTGGTTCCAGGAAGTGGACAGGCCCTGCGCCAATTTCTTTATTCCCGAGACCTGGCCCGAGTGTTGATATGGGCACTTCGGAATTACGATGAAGCAGAACCCTTCATTGTTTCTGTGGATCCCAATCAGGAGGTGTCAATCAAAGATGCCGTGGCAATGGTATCAGAGTCTAGCGGATTCGAAGGCGTTATACAATGGGATACAAGCGCAACAGATGGTCAGCTGAGAAAAACTGCAGACAATGCTAGAATGCGAGCTCTTCTTGGAAACTTCGAGTTCACAACCCTGGAGCAAGGTATGAACTTCTTTATTCCTGCCAGGCTAGTGCACCTACTGAGGAAAATATATAGGATTGAAAGAGACTCTGGCCTGGTACAGTGCAAACCAAGGACACGTCCGTGGCATGGACGTTTGAAAAGATATCCAATTTCCAAGAGGGTTACTATAAGCATTTTTCCATGGTACAGTGGGAGGCAAAAAGTTTTCGACCACCTGGATACTGCCAACTATGACCGCTCACAATCAACCAATGATGTTTAATTATTCTGCCAGTGCAAAACTCCGAATTCTAGTACTTTGTATACCAGTCATTAGCCTCTATGACAGCCTTGACGCGATTAGGCATAGTAGTAGATAATTTGTTTGAGAGCCTCAGGCTCCAATATGCCCCGCTCCTGATTGGCCCGCACTAGCGAGCCCACACACAACTGCCGGATAGAGGAGATCCACCCTCATCCATCTACACAGACACAGAATACAATAGTATCGTCGATGCCGTTCCTTGCCATAGCCTGATCCACAGGTTATGAGCCCGGCTGTTGGAGAATCCAGCTAAATCGCTAGATCTCTACTCTCATTTTCCCCACCAACGCGAGCCTTAAAGCGTAAGGACTTGTGAACCCCTCAGATTCCCTACTGAATTCGGAAGCGATCCACCAGAAAGGATTGACTGACTGAACGAACCAACAATATGGCATCCTCGGCAGCCAGTACCAGTGGATCTAGTGGAGCGACCGAAGGAGCCACGGCTATGGCCAACCTTCTCAACGACATACAAACCCAAGTTTCCATCATACCTGAATCACTGGATGGAAGACTACCTACAGGGACGAGATGATTTCTCAGTCTGGTGCTGCCGCGTGGAAAACGCACTTTGCCAATATGACCTACAATATCTCATGGACGAGAAATATCCAAGACCCACCACCAACGACGCGAAATACGCCTTGTGGAGGACGTACTCCTCGAAGAAGATACGATCCTGGATTTTCAGCGGTCTCCCAGACAATCTGGTTGAGGAACTCTCGTCGACAGGAGAACAATATGAGTATGCAGATGATATCATGAGCGCTATACGCAGTGTGGTGATGGGTACAGGCCATCGGCTGGCCCACGCTGTTTGGATTGATACTGTGTACATCCGCCGGGATGATTTTGCAACTGTTGAGGACTTTATCCATGCCCTGCGAAGACTAGTGGACCACTCCACTAAGGTGAAAATGTACATCGCTAAAGGGGGTGGTCGAAAACTTTTTGCATGGCAGTGTAGATAGAGTAGGACGTATCAGCGAAGATGGGAGCGAGGAATTATTTAAAAAAATAAAAATAAAATAAAAACATTACTATTATAGCTTGTTCTCCGTCCAGAATCTTGTGGACTTCTCATGAATCAATGCTATGTCAGCCTCCACCATCTCCTTTACCAAGTCCTTGAACGAAACTTCTGGTTGCCAACCAAGTCTTGTAGCAGCTTTCTCTGCAGAGCCACGCAAATAAGAAACCTCTGCTGGTCGGTAGAGGTCAGGGTCTACACGAACTCGAACCTGTCCAGTGCAAGCATCAACACCAATCTCTTCAACTTCACTCCCACTCCAACTGCATCCCTCAGATTAGCCTGGATTTTTTATTGCTTTGGGCTAGTCGGCTAGAGATACTCACTTCAGCTGAATCCCCACAATTTGAAATGCAGTCACCACAAAGTCTCTGACTGATCGTGTCTCCCCAGTTGCTAGAACATAGTCCTCAGGCGCATCCTGTTTCATCATGCTGTAGACACCTCGCATATAGTCCAGGGCATGGCCCCAGTCTCGCCGCGCGTTCAGGTTCCCAAGCATGATACAGCTTTTCAAACCCAGATGAATCTGAGCTACAGCAAAGGTGATTTTTCGGGTCACAAAGCCAAGGCCTGTTCAGAAAGTGAGTCAGTTTTGAGATTATTTGAACCTGATTCCTTGGGAGTGTCAAACCTCTCCTGGGAGACTCATGGTTGAATAAGATTCCATTCACAGCAAAGAGGCCGTGAGTGATGCGAGCGCTTGAAGTAATCCAGTAGGAAAAGGCTTTTGCCGCTGCATAGGGAGATACAGGGCAAAGAGGAGTTGATTCATCCTGATAGTCTTTCACTGTTTGGCCAAAAGTCTCGGATGAACATGCCTTTTGGTTTGTTAGCAGTTTGCATATAAGTCAAATAACTTATGATGCAGCTCACATTATAAAACTTGGTCTTTTTTTCCAAACCCAAGGTTAGGATTGTCTGTATGAGTCGAAGTGTCCCCAGTGCATTGACATCACATGTATAGAGTTGAAGTTTGAAAGAGGTTCCGACATGGCTCTGAGCTGCGAGATGGTATACCTCATCATAGCTGTGTTCCCTGAAAAGACTTAGGAGGAAGTAAGGGTCCATGATATCTCCGGAATGTAGTATAAGTTTGTTTGCTAGAATTCCACATTAACACTAGGCCTGCCCTCCAAAATGACCAGACATACAATATTTCTCTGCTGTAGCCAGCGCATGAGATACAGCTACTGGTATGTAGTCACTGGTCGTGCGATTTCGGAGTATCCCATGGACTGTATATCCATTCTGGAGCAGAATTTCACAAAGGTAGGAGCCATCTTGGCCACCAACGCCTGTTACTAGTGCTTTTCGTCTGTTCATGATATCATAGTCTTATTCTGAATAGAAACTAGATGAGCGTGTTGGGAGGATATCAGGACAAATGCATCTATAAATTTTTAAATACACAAAATTGATTGTATGTTGGACTTATCTTAAATACACTAATTTTCTCACTGGTTGCGGCATGGAAGAGCAACGCATAGCCCCGTTTTAGTCCAGCTGAAGGAAAAAAAAACATCCCGCCAACATCCAAGTTCATCTCAGCCGCAGCTGAAAACTGGCCACATTGACATTGCATGCGGGGTGTTAGCTGTTCATACCGCCGCCAAAGGCGTAGCTGAAATGGTTGACTGGTCGTATGTACTAACTTGAGTTAGTTAACTAACTAACGCGGTACCTTTTCCTGTAGACAGATTCCTTTTCTTCTTTTCTTCTTTTCTCTCCAGATTCGATATTCTCGTCGATGGCTACAATAGTCTAGATAGGAATTCAGTTCGTTAGTATCTACTATTCCGAGCCCGTGACATGCGATACACCACCACCACAGGGTCTCAGTGCCTCCATGGTGGTTTATAGGGGCTGATTTTGGCGTTCCAGGCGCCAAGATACCCTTTTTACCCGCAGTCCCAAAATTCCAGGGCGAGAACTTTTACAAGAACAAGGCGATTGTTGAAGAGGTCAAGAAACTTGCTTCTCAGAAAGGCTGCACTGTCCGCACTTAAGTGTAAATATTAATTATATCAATGAGATCATCCCGACACCAGATTAGATGTTATGATTCGATCCTGTGAGGTATTATGGCAGAGAATATATTGTATCCCGGACGCATAATAATCGGATCCCGCTGCCCCGCATCCGACCGGACAAAATCCTGTTTCTCATGTCAACCTCTACCATCCAATAGAACAAGAAATACAGCATAAATAATAGACAATATGCCAGACTTCAAATACCCCATGTCCAAAATCCTTTCTCAGGGCCCGCTGGTACATGTAATCCTAATTGCCCATAACAAAACCCATCTGACGCAGACAGAACGCTGAAGAGGCCAAATGGAAACGCCTAGTCAAAACAACATATCTAGATCCCAACGGCGTCCAACGCTCTTGGGAATCTGGAGAGTATCAAAAACGACCTGCAGGTATTAATTCAATCATCGGGGCTAGCGTGGTGACCATCTTTCCCAAGAGTACGGGTCCGGAACTTCTGCTGTTGAAGCACTACTGACCTTCCATTGACAAGATAGTCATTGGGCTTCCCGGAGGTATGATTGATGCTGGGGAAAGTCCGGAGCAAGCTGCCATGCGAGAGTTGAAGGAGGAAACAGGGTATGTGGGTGTAGTTGCAGAGAGTAAAGGGAATATTCTGTTCAATTGTAAGTCCTGATCCCATTCACTGTTCTGATAAAAAGATACACAGCTCTGACTGAGCATCACAGCACCCTCATTCTGTAACAATAAATTCAAGTACATCTACGTAGACGTGGATTTGTCACTTCCAGAGAACCAGGAGCCTCAACCGGAGTTGGAAGAAGATGAGTTTATTGAGACTTTTACTACTCCCGTGGCGTCTCTCTTTTCGGACTTGAAAAGACTTGAGAGTGAAGGATATACAGTAGAGACACGGGTAGTTGCTATTGCAGAGGGTCTTGAGATAGCTAGGAGATGGAGCTTGTGATGATTTGGCCTCCAACTCTATGTGAATTGTATGGTGTCATGACCAGGGATGTGTGACGGGCTAGGCCCGAAAGGCACCTCGAATCATAGATGATTCTCGATTGAAGCTATTCAGAGAAGTCCGCCGAGAGTCAGGTAACCCGTGGGTCACCTGATCATGAGAACACATGAGTTCACCACTGCCAAACGAACGATCCTTTCCTCTTCAACGAGTTCTTTTGTACGTATCTATATATTAGATAGTAAGGCTTCGGCCCATTACATTAGAACTCGTTCAATAACTACTATTCATCTTATCAGACAATGGATTGAACATCAGACACATTGGACACCTCGGACACAACAGAATTATCAGAACAATTGAACACATTGGACACATTGTGTGACGGTCTCGAGCAATATGAATCTATTGGTAGGCTATCTGACGAAATTCTAACATGAGGAGGGAAAGGAAAAAGGCAGGCCTGCCGGCGGCGAGCTATTTAGTGTGTGCGAGGGGCTTAAGCGATGCTCAGTGAATGTTCTACGCCAACCAGGTCAAAGTAATCAAACATGCTATACATCTCGCGAGCGTCCGTGCTCCATGACATTACCCCCTCCCGATGAAGGGCTGTCCTCAGTCCTTAGGAACTGGATAATCATTGTCTGGGTGGTCATCCAGGAACTCCTCATCTTCTGCTGCGCGGAGCCATTCAAGCAATCAACAGGGTGGTCCCGGCGCCTTTGGATTCGCTGCATGGAAAATCTGCAGCTTTGCCGGACTGTTCTTGAAGACTTGGGCAGGGTACCAGTTCAGGTCATTGTCATAACCAATCCACTTCGCTCGGTACTGTAGTTTCTGGTATCTTAGATGGGAGGCAAGAATCTCCTCCACTTCCCATTCGTCTTGGTCATTGACAGTGATTGGTGGTGGTGCTTCTGTGTGCTGGCCAGGAAGGGGTTCAGAAGTGGAGGCCCTGTGGAGGTGCTGTGGGTTGATGACTGGGTGGACCTTGATAGAGGCTGGCAGGTTGATGTGGAATGTGTTTCCTTCCTTGGAAGGGATCTGGAAAGGGCCTGCCCACTGATAGTCAAGCTTCTTGCTTGGACGGCCTGTGTTCCAGTTCTTTGTTGATACCATTATCATATCACCTATATCAAAATCCACCTCCCATCTTGAACAGTTCACATTCTACTGTTGGTGTCACGGGCCCGGAATAGAAGATAATATTGAACGGAGTTCTTAACTAAACTATTGTAGCCATCGACGAAAATATCAAATCTGGGGAGGAAAGAGAAGAGGAAATCTATCTACAGGAAACGGAGGTTTTATAGGCGTTTGTTTGACATCACCACTGTCTCGTCTAGCATGTTGGTGCCGTTTGTCGGTGTCAGTCATTGACGCAGCACTGAGCCGTTGATGCAGTGTCAAGCCATCACAGTTGGTGTGCGGCGTACCTGGGCAGTGCTGATTCATTCTTGCACCCAGTCCCATGTCTCTTGTAATTGTTGTAGCCATTGCTGAGCATTCACCTCTGTTACTGTTCTGTTAAGATTCAATGTTCAGTTGAAAGAAGTCCTGGGGGTGTAACTGCTGTTGATGAGAAAGGAGAAGTCTCAGTGGACTCACCCACTAATAGCGCGCCAATGAAGTCCATCATAGGGAGCTTTTCTGACCAGTTATCCTGGTGGTAATTCATGAATGGGCGTACCGGCGTAGGCGCTGTTCAATTATTTGGTTTGCATTCTCTGTCTGTCCATCTGTCTGCAGGTGGTCTGCAGTTGAGAGCTTCAGTTTCACACACAGCACGTTGCACATTGCTTTCCAAACCTCTGAGATGAATTGGCCTCCTCAGTCAGAGACTATAGTGTCTGGGGGACCCTTCCATTGATAAACATGCGCAATGAACAGCTTTGCCATGTCCTTCGCTCGGCCAGTGGTTTTGTAACAGGGCAGTGAGATGTACTGTTTACTGAAGCAGTCCACAATCACAAAGATGCTGTTGTATCCTTTCTTATCCCTTGGGAGGGAGCAGAAGTCCATTGACAGGTGCTGTCAGGGTTGATCTGGAGCTGGCAGTGACTTAAGGAGTCCTGGGGGCCTATCATGTCAAGTGTTGGTCCTCTTGCATGTCATGCAGTTATCCACGTAGTGTTCCACATCACAGCCCCAACCTTCCCAGTAATAGCGTTCCTTCAGGAGCTGCTTGGTATTTGTCTTCCCTGGGTGTGCAATTGACGGCTGTTGATGAATCTCATCCAACAGTCTGACTCACAGGTCATCCCAGTCAGGCACATACAAACAGTCCTGGTGGAGGAGCAGTCCTCTCTCATTGATCCATGGTAGTTCCAGTTCCCCTCTTTCTTGCTGTTGCTCTCAGTACCATCTGCAGTTTGCTTGGCAGATGCAGTCAATGAGGTGGAGTTGAGAATCCATCACCTTCAGTTCTACATCTGGTGTTGTGACGGCCCAACGCCGCACTGACGCCGATATAGACAAATGACATCAACATGCCAAACAACGCCAACCGTGCAATGAAGACAAATGGAACATTAGCGAGATCACACAAACGCCTATAAGACCCCTTCGTCTTCTAGATAGATTTCCTCTTTCTTCTTCTCCCCAGATTCGATATTCTCGTCGATGGCTACAATAGTCTAGATAGGAATTCAGTTCGTTATTATCTTCTATTCCGAGCCCGTGACAGGTGTCTCATCTCCTTCTCCATCTGATGGCTTGCTCTGTGTCTGTGTTTGAGCAAGCTCCTTAAGGATTTGAGTCTCCAGGTGCTGATGACGCAACAAGATCCGATTGCAGTGGTCCTTTTGTACCTCTTTGTCTTGCTCCTGATGTGTCAGGGTATCTGCACAGATGCTTGTCTTTCCTGTCTGGTATTTGATGAGGAAGTGGAATCTTGACAGGAACTCTGCCCAGCGGGCTTGTCAAGCATTGAGCTGTTTAGTCATCATAAAGTATTGTAGAGCCTGATGGTCTGAAAAGATGAGGAATTGGTCATTCCTCTGTAGTCCTTCCAGTTCAGGCCTCCACTCATTCAGTGCCACAATGATAGCAAGTAGTTCTTTGTCATGAATTTTGTAGTTCTGCTCTGCAGGAGTCATTGACTGTGAAAGGTATCCCACTGGGTGCCATAGTCCATCCTCTGGGCTCAGCTGTGATAGGATTGCTGCTACCACATTGTCAGAGGCATCTTTCTCCAGCTGTGTTAGTAGCTCTGGACAGTAGTATGTCAGCACTGGGACAGTTGCAAGGTTCTGCTTTAGCTGCTGGAAGGACTCCTCACATTCTGGGGTCCAGCAGAATGGGGTCTCCTTCTTTGTTAGTTGGTTCAGAGGCTTCACAATATGACTATATCCATAAATAAACCGTCAGTAAAAATTGCAGAATCTTAAGAAGGATTGTACTCTTTTCACAGTGTTTGGCCGGCCCCACTGGAGTATCGCTGCCACTTTATCATGATCCACCTCTATCCCATCTGTGGTGACGATGAACCCGAGATACATAGTCCTGGTAGCATGGAACTAACACTTGTGGAGACTGGCTTGTAGACCTGTAGCTCATACTCGAGTGAGGACTGTCTTCACATGCAGCTCATGCTCTGCCTCATTTGCACTGTAGATGAGGTCGTCCACAAATGCAGTGACATATTCATCCAGCATGTCCATGAATATATCATTCACTAGTCGTTGAAAAGTAGCCGGTCCATTGATCAGTCAATTTGTAGCCATTGGCGCGTGGTTTGATCCCAGCAAGCCGCTCGCGAAGGGTGGTTTCACGTACTTCAAATACATTAGCAGCTTTCAAAATTGACTTAAATTTTTTCTCATTCCTTGCAGCAATAGCCATTTGTATGCGAGATTCTTTAGAGACATTTTGTATAGAAATGGTGGAAATATAGCGCGTTGAAGTTGGTTGATTTGAATGTTTGGTAGTTGCGGCGAAAATCCGCGGCTCGGTCGTGTCTGTGGTTCGCCCGTGAATTACGTTATCGGCGCACAGGACATTGTCGACATTATTAACACGTTGATTGACAAGTTTGGCGGAAGTGGCAAGGTTGACGCCAAGGGCAGGATGGACTGTGACGGGACTGTCAAGCAACAGGACGTTGAGCGGGGTCTTTATTAGAAGGGAGGGGGTCTTGTAACGTGCTGCCGGGAATCGCAGCTTAGCGAGAATTACGTGGGTCGTTCGAATGCTTGAACTAATAGCCCTAATCCTAAATAGACAATTTAACACACCTGACGACTACAAAAGACAAATAGAACAAGATTTAAATTGATTCTCGTTCGATATTCTTCTTTTTTGATATGTTGTGAAATGTCCAAAGGAGGTATTTATAAAACAGAAAAGTAGGCCCAATCAAAATACCCAACCCAGCAGTTTATATTCGTGTTCACATCGTCAAGATGATTCGTGATCATGAGTCATGACTTTGTCTGACGGTTTGTTTTCATTTTCTTTTCGGTCTTGGTATAAAGATGGGACGTCGAATCCGGATCTCAGATCAGATCGAGAGAAAAAAGATCTCAAGCTCAACTTGTTAAAAAGGAAAAAGAGGGAAAGAGAAAACAAAGCCCAACCCGCATGAGTAAAGGTGAAAAAGAAAGGAAATTAATACTCCGCATCCGAAGGACCAATGTTGAGGATCATGTTGGTGCTCTGGGGACAACCATGAGTAGCATGGTTGTCGGACGGGACCAGATAAGCCGCGCTACACTGGGTGTCACCGGGCTTGCAGGTGGCGTTCTCGCATTGGTCACTGTTCGAGGTGACATCGAAACCGACTTCGCTGAAGAGCGAACCAGTGCCCATGTCGATGCAGGAGAGGTCCCAGAAGATCTTTGGCTCGGCAAGGGTGTATTCATACTGCAGAACGTCGTTTTGGTTGGGGTCGGTGGAGATCTTGATGCTGATGCCACCGCCATTGGGGTTGATGCGCCAGTCTTCCGAGTAGGTCTCGCCTTGAGGCACGGTGATCATCTTGTTGGCGTCTTCGCCGACGGACCACAGGTACAGGTCCTGGTTGATGTTGTTGTAGATGGTCACACCGCCACCAGTGTTGCCTGATGGTGCTACGCCGCGGACGTTGTGGGGTAGGGCAGTGGTCATGCCGGCCAGAGTGGCTGCGGCAGTCAGGAGCTGAGTGAAGATCATTTTGTTTGTCAAAGGGAATGTAGTTGTTGTAGTAGGAAAAGGAATGCAATCTCGATCTCTATCAAAAAGAGAGAGTGGTATAGGATGAAGGAATGTCTGATCTGATCTGATCTGGTTTGATAGAAGTATCAAAGAAAAAAGCGCAAGACGATCCCTTTTTATAAGTTCTCATAACCCTTCCTCCAACTCCAACTACGGCCAGTAGAGACACGCAAGGTCAAAAAAAAAAAAAAAAAAAAAAAAAAAAAAAATGGCAGGCAGACTTTCAAACCATCGTGAAGCACATCGGCAAATGCCACAAATCAGCTGGCATCAACATAACGAAAAAAATTGGCCCAGTATCGATCCACTGGATTCTGGATGGTTGTTCCAGAATGCGAACGATCGTGTTTGTCCCGAGTGATCCGACTCGTATGGATATCCTTTCTTGTTGGATCAGTGGATATTTGACACCGCGCGGTACATGTAACACTGCTGGCGTCTATAGGTAAAACCTCCCATCAGGCACACTCATCCGATTCGCCAATGAATCACACACAAATCACAAATCACTTTGTTCCTGTTCCTGTCATTAGAAAGGAAACCCTTTTTTCCAACATGATTCGTTGCCAGAACACCGAGGAAGTGGATTGCGCCGCACTTTGCAGTTTAGGGTTGTCCTATCAGCTTATCGATAACGGTCTTTTGGTCTCCACATACCTACTTTAAACCCAATGGAACCCATCATCTGGATCGCATAAAAAATTGATTTTTTTTTCCTTTTTCTTGGGCTTCTTTCAACATGACCTTTCATGGTTCTAAGGACATTATTAATAAACTCTGTCCAATCTAATAAGTTGGAGAGAAAAATATGTGTTGTCTGTGGTTCGGACATTTCTGTCCCTGGATGTGGTATAAAGTGAGTCACGGCAAATTACTTGAAACAACTGGGCACAAGAGAATTATAACCAATGGTTATTTGGTTTGCAAATGTGGACTTGTACATGTACCTGCGCGCCGCGTCTTCCCCCGGTGGTGGTGTGGTGGCGATTTTGGCTCTTGGCTTGTTCCATTATCCTAATTGCATAATTGATTGCTTTATCCGTCAGATCCGCATGAGATGTATGCCTTAGAAGGGTGTGAAATAGCCGAAGTTTCTGCTTGGCATAATAGCCATTAACTGCGATGAGCATCTCTTCCATGACCATAGTGTTTGGCTGAAAAATCAAGACCTCCTTAAGAATATTGAGGCCTTTTATTCACGAGGGTATGGAATCTTTATACATCGCTCAATGCAGCTGCTACGGCGCGCTCTGAGAGAGGCACTTGTTCCATAACCCAAGAAATAAAAAGAAGATGGTGATAGTCAAGTGAAATAATGCCTACTTATGCCAGATGATTTTTTAAAATACTTTTCGTCCGGGGGGAAGTGATGTATCGCAACATAGTTTGGGTTTCCGAACTAGAAAAGTATTCGAGTTGGCGGGTATACAGAAGTCCATATCATAATCCATTGCATTTGTGGCCCTAAAGCACTAAATTAAGGTATGTTTATTTCCAAACCTGCTACCATCTGGACTCTCTCTTCTTCAGTTTTGCAACTCCGGCTTTCATTACCGACATAGCCTCCTTGTCTTCTGACTTCTGTGCTTGATCGAGCATATCATCAATAAGTAACGGAAGGTTGCTTTCTCCCAAAAAAAGGCTCTAGGGCATATGTGACGGTCATGTGATGGTCAACGACCAACGGCCAACGGTGATAGCTAATGACCAACTGCTGATAATGACAAACACTGTGAACGGGTCAAACGAGCCTCCGTCACACGTGATCCCACAATGAGTAGATTTTCTCCTTCCATGGCGTTGATGACTTCTTCTTCTTCCTCTCCAGATTCGATATTCTCGTCGATGGCTACAATAGTTTAGATAGAAATTCAGTTCGTTAGTATCTATTATTCCGAGCCCGTGACACCCGGTTAATACGATGTTGTTATTGACCACTACAGTTATAGACATGTAGAGCAGGTAGTGAAAACTGCCCAATCATTATTATTCTCTGTGTATCATAGCCTCCCCATAACTTCTGCTCGCTCACACGGTCGCGACTGTTCAAGCATCGGGTATTTAATAGATCTATAAATTAATAGACTTCCTCTTTCTCACGCGCTCAAAGTATCGGACGGGGGTGATTTTGTACAAAACTCACTCTCTTCCAATACACAAACTCGTTCATTCGTTATCATGGCAGACTTTTTCTCAATTGCGTTCAGCTTGGTCGCACTTGTGGGATTTGCTTTCCAGACCAGCAAGGCTCTCCACCTAAAAGTTGAGAGTTCCAAGTCGTCAAAACGAATGATTCGCGAGCTGGGATATGAACTTGAGTCTCTCATCCAAGCTGTTGAAACCCTGGAGCAAGCAGCAAAAGACAATGAAGCAGGGAATTTGAAGAAGTTATTAATAAGTGTGTCTCACATTCGAACAGCCAGCGACCCAGCCTTCGTGACTGTACAAGATTACAATATATGAAGGGGATATCACTGATCTCAGGACCACTTTGGCTCGGTACAGAGTGCTCTGGGGCAAGCAGGCCTATATCATTCGCAAAAGAGACTGGATTCCATCCACTGTCCTTTGTTGGTGACTTTGTGGAGTTTGACATTGTTGATGGGTTTTTTTCTCTGCACACCACATCATTGGGAAGTCCGTGCGATATTATAAATAATGTTGGAAATCCCAATAATAGGAGCCACTTATACTCGGTCACTGGAACTGAACCTGTTTGTTCCATTGCCTGTCCAGTGTTAAGGAGCTGCTATTGTGACCAACAGATACATTTTGCCCTCAACCCTGGAGAACAGAAAGTAACATTCATGAGTAACATTGCTAGCACCACAGTAGTCATGATGTCTACTACACTCCCCATTTCTCACACACCTAGATCTACTGTCACCAGCGTGGTATGGGTTACTGGTGGATGAATCTACCAAAAAGGATTTTACTGAAAGCAAAGATATACTGTGTCTAATTTCATTGTGAACTATGGAAGGAATGTGATCAATACCTATTTTTTTGGATAGAACTGGAGCTTTACTCTTCTTGTGCTATCATCAGACCCAGGAGCAATGCGAGCCCCATCCAGTGAAAAGACCACTGAGTAGACCCAATTAGTATGGCCTTCCAGGGTTTGCAGGCAGGCTCCAGTGCTGGCGTTCCAGATCTTGGTTGTATCATCACCAGACCCAGAAGCTATGTAGGCCCCATCAGGTGAAAAGGTGTTAGGGCACAAAGCCGCATAGCGGACTTATACATCTCCTTGTCATACGTCTGTACATAATACGCACATAACGTGACCACAACACGAAGTCTTACCTCCGCTGAGGTCCAGTTCCCGGACCTCAGCGATTAGTACCGCGAATACTACGCAGATACCTTTCATAACGCTCACTGCGCTATCCATAGACCCCTCTCTCACGGGCCATCAGATAGGAAATTGCTTGGGGAGAGGGTAATCTCAAATACTAGGAGAACTCTGCAATGATTAATGCAACCAGGCAAAGATATCACACATTAGGCTGCAATGGGTTAGGTTATGTGATATGGTGGAATGGTGGATTATTCAGCTGTTTCGGAATAACTATTTTGACTATATAGTATCGTCAGCCGAGAAATTTAACGATACTATTTGACTATCATGATCGTCAAGCCTTGGATTTGACGATACTATTGCCTATATTGCAAAACTCTGACTATATGGTATCGTGAACAGCCCTAATCGCCCGGCCCCTAGATTCACTGCACAAGGACTTCATCAACGGGGGCGCTTCAAAGGGCCGGCCAGCCAATGCGCCGAGGTCTCAGCACCACAGTGGGATTACTGCACGTGAGGTCCTTGGCCCTTGCGCTTGTTCCTGAAATGGATAAACCAATGAAACGGTTAGACTCCGTGTCGGGGAAGTCGCGGGGAGTCGATTATCCGGACTGCACGAGGCTATAGGCGAGGAATTTAAATTACACTAAAGAGGTGACATTGACACCTATAGATACCGTAGATAGTAGAGTGAGTGCTTAGCCATCTAAAGCGTATGGCTACGGTTGATATGGAATCATGTCGGACTGATTAGGCAAGTTCCGCCGGTCCGATGTTATAGGCCAGCGTGAGCGCACGTTTAGATAGACAAGCACTCAAGCACTCAACCAGCTGTGTGTGGGTATACACGTTAATAGGCAATACACTTCTCTCGTTAAAACTGGATCTCTCCGTATACGACCTCGCTAGTCGCGGATAATCGACTCCTCCGGACCTCCGGCCCCCGATCCCCATTCAGATACTTAGCGGTGCTGGTGGGCGAACTTCAGCACACCAGCGATTAGTCTTCTCCGAATACTACGCATGCAGTCCGCAATACTCTCATCACGCTGTCTCAACTCCTCCTTCTCTAACACTAGGTCTGTTTTGGATGTGTCGAAAATTGTCGACGCGAGAATGCACCACAAGTGGTGAATCTTGTCTTCAAGGCTGAAGTTTCATTTTTAGACGACCAGCTGTCCACTTGCTTTCGCATGTTAGCCCAAGTGGTAATTTCGTTATGCCGCCTCCTTATCGCAAAGCATGCGTCCACTGTGTGCGGTCAAAGAGGAGATGCGATTTGAGCCTTCCACGCTGCTTTCGATGTCGGGTTCGAGCCTTAGAATGTCTTTATCAGAATAATCCATCCATCATCTTTTCCAACCAACTGGCAGATCCGGGGATTGGAGCTGAACAGGGGAGTTCTCTAGACTCTGGCCATCAAGCTGAAAGCTCTGGTGACGTTGTCCCAGATTATGACATAGGATGGGTCGCCTCTGCGGGATAACATCTGCAAACAGATTTCTCAGTCCCACCATTTCCTGATTACGATCTCGATTGGCAGGAAGTCATGGAGAACATTGAATTCTTTTCAGTTCCTGATCAGTTGGCACCGAACGCCTCTCCTAGTCAGTCTGTGCTGGCTGGCGAAATTTACCAAGAGCGAATCATTTACGCCGTGAAGCGGCTGAGGGATCTTCCAAAAGTCTTTGCAACTCATGGTCAAACGTCATTTATACATAGGAGTCTATATGACAACCGAATTCCCGTGATGATACAGGATGCTATGGGAGTCTGTGCCCTCTACCAGGCGAAAAATGAGACCACCCAAGCGATGATTCACCAGATTATCACCCAAAAAGTACACTCCCTTTTGGTCAACCACAAACAGCCCGGTCTCTCAGCACTTGACCAGCTGGCATCGGTCCAATCGTTGGCACTTTTCCAGATAATATGCCTCTTTGATGGAGACATTCGCATGCGGGCTGATGCGGAGCGAATCGAGCCAACATTTTTAGACTGGATTACACAACTGAGGCTGCGGGTCCAAGGCCTCGATACCGACTGCGAGATTTTATGCCCGAGTTCTGACGGAAATAATGGACAATGGCAGTCGTGGATATTTGCGGAAAGTGTCCGGCGAACCGTCATTATTGGATTTACCATACAAGGTCTTTATTGTTTCCTCAAGAATGGATGGGACAATTCCCATCACGAGTTCGAGAGCTTGTCATTCTTCGCACAGAAGGTGCTTTGGGCTGCTCACTCTGAATATCAATGGCGCTCAGCTCTCATTACGCATTCACCACTTCCACTCCGTTTCTCCATGTGGGATACAGACATTACCGCCGCGAGCCCACTAGATATTGACGACCTGTCCATGTTGATGATGGTGTTGATCAAAGGTGTTGATCAATGCTCTTTTTGGGTGGGAAATGAGAATTGGATGAGCTCATGAGATTTTTTGAATAATCAAGAGCCAGATCTATCTACAACTGTTAGGTCAATCTCCTCCTGGGAATGTTATTAAATCCTTTGTTTCCCCGAAGCCCAATTTTTTTTTTTTTTTTTTTTTT